GCTCCTTGGGGAGATCAATCATGGGAGAATAGAAGGGCTGTGTATGCATAGGGTGAAGCTCCAGGAGCAGGAGTGCATGGGAGGGAAGAACACAGGGAAGAGGTGACTATGGGGAGGAAGTGGAAAGAGAACTGTCTCATTGTGGGAGATTACAGTCAATGTCATGAGACAAAGTATACGTGGACTGCTGTTTGGAAGATGAATTTGCTCTGTAAACTGTCACCCAAATCACAAGAAAACTTAAAAAAAAATCTTTTCTAGCAATTTTTACAATGATAGATTTTTCATTGTGTTGAAGAAAATGCTTAAAATGATCTTTTTTCCTCTCTCTTTCTCAAAAAGGTATGGCAGAATAGTCATTTACTTAATATCCTGTTTTGGCGTTGGCCTCACCGGTGTCGTGGTGGCCTTTGCACCAAATTTCCCTGTGTTTGTGATCTTCCGCTTCTTACAAGGAGTCTTTGGAAAGGGGACATGGATGACTTGCTATGTGATTGGTAAGAAGTTGTTTCACCTTCTTTGCCTTCTTCACCTCTGACGATTACACACAGTGGGGCTTCACTGCAGCCACAGTGGTTATTTCTGGAAATAAGAGCATGTGAGGCAGGCTTCTAGTTGCTTCTGAAGCTGGAATGCCACCTTGCTTTGGGAACCACATAAGGAACTTAAAATGTTGGGCTGCTTCCACTGTCCAGCACTGCTATGCTGTTATCACAGTGTTTCTTGCTGTTTTAAATGAATTCTTATAAAAATATCAGTAGCTCCTTGAGACATTTGGAAAGCATATTTTGCAATACAGTGTTGCAATTGTACATATTCCAAAATATCACTTTTTAACTCTACTCCTTTCATACAAGTGGACACTTCTTACCTTGCAGGAGATGTGGCCTAACCATAGAAAGTTCATTTGTGTGCCTTTACTTCTGTTCGTAACTGGAATGCCCTCGCTCATAGGGTTTGGAAAAGCCCTGGTTGCTAGCTTTGACTCTATTTTTGGAGGTGTCCAGGACCAGCCATCTACTTTAGGAGATGCAAAAGTTCATCTTGGATTATTGCTCTAGTTCTTTAGGCTTCCACTCAGTTCCATGACTACTGGACAAACCCCAAGTAGTGCCCAATTTAGAAACCAGCTGGAGATTTTTCTATGGATACAGGAAGGAGAGAGAGTGCTAGGAGGGGTTGATTGTCACTGGCTGAAGCAGAAATGATAACTTTGGATTCCAAACCAAAAACCAAACTCATTGCCATCAACTTAGATCCGATTCATAGCGACCCCTCCTTGGGTTTCTGAGGTGGTATCACTACGGAAGTAGATTCCCCATTCTTCCTTCTGGTGGGTTTGGGAGGCGTTTTTAGACACCCAATTCTTGGCAAGTTTCCAAAGTTGTGATCTTAGGGCAACAATAAGGTAGCATATCCCAAGATCATTAGACGAGAAGAAACCAAGTAGAGGGAAGTGTGCCAGTAATAAAATTGCCCTGTTGACTTTTAGAGTAAAGGAATATCATATAAATGAGAAGTCCCACACTGTGGAAAGAATTTTCATTTAATAGGATCTGTCTTGTGATAATGAAAAAACAGTATTTGTAGGGTCATGGGAGAAAGACCTGGAGATCTGCTTCTGTAAAGATTACCACCAAGAAAACTCTATGAGATAGTTCTGCTCTGTCAGATGGGGTTGCTATGGGTCAGAATCAACTCTGTGGCCCAAACAGTAACAATAAAATGTTTACAATGAATCCCCTGAAGAGACTATAATATGCAAATATTTCTAGACACAGCGATAAAATTTAGCCAGTTTACCATGTTTGTACTTTGATCATTATAACTGCCTTTCAAAATAATCTTCACGTACACTTTGCTGAAACCAATGCTTTGTACCCAGAAGAGAGCCAGGCTGGGTGCAAAAGAGGAATGTGGTAAATGGTTGTTGACAATTGGCAGAGAGGAGAGTGAAAGAACAGGAAATCACACCGCTGTTGTCACCCCAATTATGAAAGCTTCAGCATGTTTAGGAGAGCTACAGTAGCTAGCAGTGCTGACCGAGTATGGCAGGGCAATGGTTCTTGATCTGTTGGTTTATTTGGAGCTGATTTGAGCTTTCCTAACCTCTTGTATCTATTTTCCTTCAGTCACAGAAATAGTTGGTTCAAAACAAAGGAGGATTGTGGGAATAGTGATTCAGATGTTCTTCACTCTGGGCATCATAATTCTTCCTGGAATTGCCTACTTTATCCCCAACTGGCAAGGGATCCAGCTGGCCATAACGCTGCCCAACTTTCTCTTCCTCCTTTATTACTGGTAATGTGCTCTTGGTCATTATTGTGTTTACACTTCCACAGAACTGGCAGTCTGCTCCCATAAAGATCACAGCCTGGGAATCTCCATAGGGTACTTCTACTCTGTCACTTGGGGTCACTCTGAGTCTAAAATAGACTCAATGGCACTCCACAACAACAAACCACAGAACTGTAGACTCAATGCTTCCAAACCAACATGAAAATGAAGGCAAGTTTCTGAAATCTCCAGAAACAACCCTTGGGCTCTGAAAACTTACAGAGATTGTTAAATTATATGGGAAATGGTTGTCATGAAAGTAAACCAATAAAATACCAAAACAAAAGTTCTAACTAAAGTGTGATTGCATCATGTTTCATTACTTTGTATTGTCTTCATGAAAAGTGTGAAGCAACAAATCATATGTGCCAACATTTCAACATGCAAGCTGAATGCAATCAGATCTATTTACTTCTCGCTTTTGTTGTTGTTGTTGTTGTGTGCCGTTGAGTTGGACCCGACTCTCTCTAGGTTCTGTTAAACATCTTTGGGTTACTTAGGAATTCTCTGAAGAGTAAGAAAATGTTAACAGCATCAGAAAATTAATTTCTCAAAAAGCTACAAGAGTGTGCATTTGATTCTTATTAAACATATTTATATCATTCCTCTAATTTTAATCTATGGACAAATCAGTTTACATATACCAGATTCTTAGCCTTTTCCTGAAGACTCATTAAATCCCAATTCATTCATATGTGTCATCAATGATACTATATTCTAGAGTAGCCTTGTCTTGTAAGAGCTATGCAATATTGATTATGATTATTGAATATTGAATATGCTCATTTTTTCAGTAATCCGATTAACAAGTTAACATTTTCTGTCCTTCTGTTGTTAACTTGTAGAGAAAATCTACTAATAGAGCTTTTCAGAGAGCCCATTATCAATTCTCTGAAACTTCTAAATTCGTATCTAATTGCAAAATACATTTTGAGAGGAAAAGTCAAGCCATAAACAAGCTTTCAGTTGTTGAAATTCCTAGACATAAAGCAGCCTCCTTCTTTGTCAGGGTGGTTCCTGAGTCCCCCCGCTGGCTCATCACTCGGAAGAAAGGGGAGAAAGCATTAAAAATTCTGAGGAGCATCGCGAAGTGCAATGGGAAATATCTCTCCTCAAGCTACTCAGAGGTAATGTTATTTATTACAAGTAACAAATAGGGTTACAGTGAGTCCATTAATTTCTTTGACTTTATGCACTGCATTTTATTTCTTAGAATTATATGTACCAAACTTCCAACTAAATTATTGTTAGTTTGGCTTAGCTAAAAAATGAAAAAGTACCTTGGGAAGAAGCATAATGTATATGAAAGAAGAAATGACTGTGAAGTTGTAATAGTGTTATGCTGTTGTTGTATAAGAGAGTTATAGTTGAGGGTAATTGATCATTTCAGTCCACATGTTATGGTTGTACCATTACTGAATCATATTTCTTTACGTAATGCAGGCCCCATAATATTTAATATTTTATCCCTCAATTGTACACACTTTAAATTAAATCTTTCATTGACATTATTTAGCCTAAAGATGTGTCTTTAAATTTATTTGAACCAGAGCTTGGACAGCCCTTAGTTTTCCATGTGCCAGCCTAACTTCCTTCGTTCCTTCCTTCTTCCTTCTCTTCCTCTCTCCTCCCTCCCTCCCTCCCCATACTGTCCTTCTCCCCTTCTTTCTTCCTTCTTCCTCCCTCTTTTCTTCCCTCCCTCCCTTCTTTCTTCCTTCTTCCTCCCTCTTTTCTTCCCTCCCTCTTTTCCTCTTTCTATCCCTTCCCTCCCTCCCTCCTTTCCTTTCTTCCTTCTTTCTTCCTTCCCTCCAATGAAGGTGTTTTGGTGCCTCTTCTGGTTCCTTAGTGCTGCTCGGACAGGAATAGATTACAAATGGGATGGCTCAAATAAACAGGGATTTGTTCTCTTACAGTTTTGGAGGCTAGAAGTCCAAGTTCAAAGTGCCTGGCTCTAGGGTCTGGCTGAAAGCCCCACAACCTTGGGCTTCAGCTCTGCCTCCTGCTCCCGGCCCACTGAAGCTAGAGGCTTTTCTTCACTCAGACAAGCTGCTGACTGCTGAGACTGACAAGCCCAAGGTTAACAAGTTAAAAGGCACAGTCCCAATGTTACCAAACCACACAGCAGGCCATTAATTCAAGTCCATTAAAAGTCCCAAGGTTGGCAGAGCATGGCAGGCTGCTGAGCAATGACATGGCTACATGTAGGGTTCAAGCATGCCATAAGCTAGAGACCATTTCTCAAGGTTTCTCCTTATATACAGGAAGGAGATCACATCCCTAAGGCAGCTACTTAGCTGCTCAACAGTAGATTCCACCATGGAGTTAATTACCAATCTCACCATGGGGAATAATTACATCCAGCTGCCTAGCCACTCAAACAGGCCCAGCCAAGTTAACACACAAACTTAACTACCACAGTGCCTCTGTGTTTCTGCGCTAAGTGAAATGGGGGGATTAAAAGCCGATTCTTTGCCTCTTGAAAGATTTGATATACAACTGAAGGCACAACACATGTATGTGTGGTGGCCCCTGAATACTTAGAGAATAGCATAGAAACAAGTATGACAGTGCTTTAGCTGTGAAGACTAAGCAAATGCAAAGTAACATAAGGATCAGTATAAATGCAATATTAGAGAAGAATCTTTAGAAGGTACGAATCTTGATTTAAACCCTGGGGAATTGGAGGCTGCTAATTTTGCTTTCCTGGTAGCATTCAGTTTGTTTCTACCAGAAACTGGTTTTGTGGGGTTCATTGCCCTTCTCCCATCTGGGACTCAGTCAGATATGTTAGAATTTCTACTTTCTTCCTTCATTCTTATGTTAAGCAGCAAGCAGTAACTTCTATGTTTCCCAAAGATTCAGCTGACCAGTTGTCGCTGTTGCAAGTGGATTACTGATGTATCTTGATGTACTTTGGTTTACAGATCATAAAGCACCTGGTAAAGATAAAACATGATCTTTTTTAACCACTGAGATAAGTCATTTTTTTGCCAGGCTTTGACTGAGAAAACATGAACTATAGATCCCTTTCAGGGAAAAAACATATCCTGGCCTCTCACTTTGTTCTTATCTTACGTTAGCTATCCATCTTCCAGCTAGACCAAGCCTATGATCATTTGCATTCAATTTTGATAGCCAAGCGAATATTGTTGCTGTTAATTTAACAGTGTCCTGAAGCTATTGCACATGTAGTCACAAGGTAAACATATGTCAGATCTGAATCAAGAATACAGAAAGAAACAGTGTGTGCTGATGGCAGGTTAAATACAATGCTGCCCTAACAGGCATGTTACATGTTATCACAAGTGTTGCACAGAGACCTGGGTTGAACCCCCAGAGCCAGCTGCTTTTACATGTCCTGTGTGTGACTACACCACTGCTCCTCTACCCTCCTACCCAACTTGCAATTCATCTACACCATCAAGACCATTTCAACAAATGCTAAGCTGTTAATGAAGGGTCTTGGTCTACCAGATGGTGCTTGTAAAGGATCTCAATGATGGGTCTAGTGGCTTCCAAGTCATTTTAACACGAGCCTTATGATGGGCCCATTTAAAAAACAGATTTGAAGGAATATTTCTATTTCCCTGGGAAATAGACTCTAGACTCCTTGCTACCTCTGTTGGTGTTTTGTTATTAAAGCCGAGTGTTTTTGTTTTTTTTTTTCATTGAATGGTTTTTGTTTACCAAAAGACTTGCCACTTTATTCTTATTTTTCTCCTTTTAATTTTTTCTTATGAAAAATTTCTAACGTATTCAAAAGTAGAGCTGCTGACTGCACCCCTACATGCATGCCTCCAGATCAGCAATTACTAGCTCCTGAGCAATCTCTTTTTATCTGTACCCCATGTACTCTCTGCCACCCACAGATTATGTCAGGGGCATCTTCCAGACATGATGTCATTTCACCTGGTAATATTTCAGATTGTATCTCTAAAATATAAACACATAAATGTATACTTAGCTCTGAGACTATGTGTGCGATTATCTTCAGACTGTGCTAAATGAGAAAAAAAAAAAAAAAAAAAAACATTGTCGTTGATTCAATTCTGACTCATGGCAACCCTACAGGACAGAGTAGAACTGCCCCATAGTGTTTCTCAGGCTGTAGTCTTTTTAATTTTTTATTATTATTATTGTGATTT